ATTGTAAGTAATATTTTCCATTGTATTTGGTCATCCAAGCTCCTTCGACAAATGGTTTAATCAAATCAGCATGATTGGGTCCGAAGCGTTCCCAGCCATGTTGATATTGATCGAGCCAAAACATGGCTTTATAAGGAGTTTTGTATGCCAGTTTTCTTTTATAATCTAATTCTGCGCCAAAAATAGGATAAACATTGGACGAACCCCAGTACATAAACCAACGGTCGGTATCAGCATCGTAAAAAATAGCAGGATCCCAAGGACCAATATCTTTGGGCAAACGCGGCAGCCAGCGATTGAAAAATCTTAATTTACCTTTTTCAGGTTCGGTAGAATAAAAAATAGGGCGTTGTTCAAAAGTAGATTGAAATAAAAATAGTGTATCACGCACCGAAAGCGCAGCAGGAGCACACATATCCTCCATAGGCCACTTATCGGGGTGCACAAAATCCCAATGGATTAAATCTTTAGAATGCCACCAGCCGCCCGAAATCGTAACAAATAAATAATATTCGCCTTTGTGATTGACGATAACAGGGTCAGCACCCGAACGATAAGAAATACCCTCGTTTAACTGCTCAAAATTGTATTGATAATTGATATCCATAGGGTTACAATACGTTCTTTGCTGAGCGTGAGCAACAAAAAAAAGATTGGCTAAAAAAAATATAAGTATCTTATTCATAGCAATAAAATGATTTTATTTGTAGTGCAAAAGGTAAGAATTTTTAAACTACTACCCATATTTTAAATTTAGATATTTGGAATAAAAAACAAGATTTTTGGGAATGCCCATTAAAGGGGGAATATAAGTAGCAAGAAGAAGGATTAAATCATTGATATTTAAGACTTTAAGACTTAAATCATCATAGCTATTTCTAAAATAGGAAATAGATTTAGCGGTAAAAGTTTTGAAGTTTTTCATGGGTATAATTTTGGCATCTTGAATGGCTTAACGGTTAATTAACAATAGTATCACTATAATCTATTGAAAACCAATATATTACATCAAAATAAAAAACGATTAGTGACAAAATAAAAAAATACTAAGAAAATCTGTTTTTAAAATTAAAACAAATGTTATTATTATATAATAAAATACTTATATTTGTATTAAAAATGAGTTATAGTGTAAGCGACCAAATAGACCGCTTAGAAAAGCTAAAAGATGAACTGCTTGACCCGAAATATGTTGCTAATTGTATCAAAATAATTGATATGCAAAACAAGTTGTTAGGATTGTATCAGCAGCATAACAATCAAAAAACCAAACAACTGAGCCTATTTGAACTAACGCCGTTAGAAATAACAAAAATGGCATTAGAAAACGTGAGAAAAGCACGTGCAAATAACAATCCTTGATGCAGCCGAAAAAGAACCCTTTGCCTTTGACCCGTTTACCGATACGTATTTTGTGCCAGTCAACCCTGCGTACATGGATTTATTTTATTCAAAACATCGCGTGGAGGTGATTTATGGTGGGCGTGGGTCGGGAAAAAGTACGGCTTTGCAACAACGTGATTTGATAAGATGTTTGACTTTGCCCTATTTTCGCCACGTTTTTTTACGAAAACATAAGGTGAATTTGGCAGATTCGATATTTAAAGGATACAAAGATTTGATTTATGAGTATGGGTGGACAGATTATTTCGACATTAATAACACGACAAAACATATTACTTGTAACCTTACTGGGAATGAATTAATTGGTTTTGGAATGGACGAACCAGAAAAGTTTAAATCAATTCAAAACCCAACGAGCGCATGGTTTGAAGAAGCCAGCGAGTTTTCGATAAAAGATGTCGTTACGGTAAATGAGAGTTTACGCACACAAAAGGCTGCATTTTTGCAACTAACACTTTCGTTTAATCCGATTTTTGAAAGCATTTGGATTCGTGATGAAATTATGAAACAATTTGATTGTTATGAATTGCATACGACGTTCAAAGACAATTATTTTATAGACCAAACGGAATATCTAAAAACATTGAGCCTAAACCCAAGCGAAGACCGAAAAAATGTATCCATACATGGGGCTTGGGGCGAAGGCGAAAATGTTGACCGTTGGCTACACACATTCGCGATTGATAAGCACGTAGGAGAAGTTTCACTTATTCAAAACGCACCTATCTATATTAGTATTGACGTGAATTATGGCAAGTTTTGTGCGATTGTGGGGCAAAGTAGCAACAACGATAGGAATAGCGAAGCAGGGGTGTTTTTTCATATTATTGATGAAATTGTGTTGACTGATGCGAGTGTTGACCGTATGTGCCAAGAAATAAAATTGCGTTACCCGTACAATATTAAATATATCACTGGCGACCAAACGGCAACCAGTAACAATGTTTTGGGCAATGTTATCGAAATTATCAAATCAAAACTGCAACTTTCAAACGCTAATTTATTGTTTGGGAAATACAACGCGAAAGTACGCGAAAAAAACCCCAGCCACGTCGATAGTTGGTATCATTGCAACGCTGCCTTTCAAAATCACCCAAATATTAAGATAAATCCGAAATGCAAAGAACTAATTTCAGACTGTAAACGTGCAAAGTTTGACACAAAAAAGAAGGCTCAATATAACTTATTTAAAGGCGAGGGCGGAGGCGATTGGGCAATGAACGCCTTTGATGCGTTGCGTTATTTGGTCGATATACGGCTGCCGAGCTATCGAAGTGTCGGCGTTTAACGAAAATAAAAACAAAAATAATGGAAATACAATTAAAACCATTGGCAATTTTTTTTCAACAATTAGGCGGTTTCAAAAGTGACATTCAAACACGCGGCGAAACCATGAAAAAAGCAAAAGATATAGAGTCCAAGCTGAGTGAATATCTTTCTGCAACAGGTCAAGTCATTGTTGTCAATAAAAGTAGAGAAATTGAATTTATGGACAAAGAAGAATACGAACGGCTGTTGCTACAAGAAAGTTCTACGGAAAAACAACCTTGACTAAACTAACAAGATTGGTTAAAATAGTCCAAATATTATTGGCTGTAGTGGTGACTTGTTCTAATTTTTCGGCAGAATTGCTGTCATTTTTAAGCGCATCTATTTGGTCGCGAAGCACTGCCATTTCATCTTTAATAAGCATTTGAGCAGAAAAACCGCCTAATTCTTGTAAATGATACGCTTTAACGAGCATAGCAACGCCAAATGAACTTGTCGAACCAGTTGAGGTGTAAACCAATAAATTATTGGATTTGAAATCTACGATTAACTTGTGAATCCACCCTTCTGGAATATCGCAGTTTGTAGCAGCTTCATTGCTACGGATTACAAACCAATCTTTTTGTCCATAAGGTACGACATCTATCAAATAGTTAAGGAATTTGTCGCAATCAACCGAAGTTGGTTTTCTGAATGTAGCCATGAATTTTAAAATTTAAAATTAAAAAACAAAAATAATGGAAAAAGTAGAAATCACAAAACCATTTTTAGACCTTGCCTTATCCGTTTTGAGTAATGCTGGCATTTCAGAAAGCCACGCAAAAGGCGAAACGGAGCTACCGAGCCTAACGCAAGCTACCGACTTGATAAAACAGGCAATATACCCGACCTTGCAAGGCAAATTTATGTCAAGCGAATTTGGGGGCAAATTTTTGAAACAGCTAAAAGACATCATGCCAAAAAATGACACGTGGGAATCCATCTCTGAAAAAGATGGATTTGATAAAATAATAGAAGTTATAAAAAATACAACAAAGTCTGAAAAAGAAGCCCTCAAAATAGAACTTTTAGGCGACAAAGACAAACAAGTATCCGAACTTTCTGCCAAGCAAATAGCGACCGAAAAGGCAAAATTTGAAGCCAAACAGCAAGAATTATTGTCAAAATTGCAAGAATTTGAGCAAAAAGTAAATGATTATAGTAAAAAAGAAACACACCAAATGCGGCTAAATGCAGTCAAGGCTCTCTTACCTAAAATAAAAAAAGAAGGTAAGGAAGTCCCCATTTCGCTTAATGACACACAAATAACCCTTTTTATGAAGTATTTGGAAGATATTTCGGACATTGACGTACAAAATAATCAAGTTTCATTTTATCATAAAGGAACTCAAGCCCCGTATGGCACAATAGGCGAACAAAAAATGTATATTCCACCACAAAAATTAGTAGAAGAAAAACTAAAAGAAATAGGATTTTACAACCCTACAAAAGAGTTTCAATATTCTGGTAATTTTGGCGCAAATACGCCACCAAGTAATCCGAACAAAATATTAACCAATGCTGAAATAGCTGCCATGCTTTAACCAAAAAAAAGAAAAAATGAATAAATTAAATTTAGATGCACCTAATTTGCCGCCAACGGTAATCCCTACCATTGACGAACAAGAGCAAGAAATTAGGGTCCTGATACCCGTTGGTTTTGGGCTTTTTGTGAGCGTTTACAACAAATATGAGTGGGCGGTCGCTCCACTGAATCAAGCAAAAGAAAAAACTGGCGAAGTCGCCGGCGTGTCCAAAGGTCTATTTACCTTGAAAGGTTATAGCACAATCATCAATGGCGTATCGCAACAAAATGTGTTTATTTGCAAAAAAAAAATACCTTACCCAAAAGTGACAATCCCGAAATAGAGTTCACGTTTGGCGTACAGAAAACCCGTAATGTTGCTAAAAATAAATGCAAAACTTGTTAAACTATGTTTGAACTAAAAGACGAAAACAAGGTAATTATACGTCAGTTGAATGGTAAAATAACGTCATTTAGGTGCTTAGAGCCGCACGAATTGACGTGGAATAGGCGCAATGAAGCGCGAATATTTGAACAAGGTTTGGAGCTGGGTATCATGCCCGATACGCTCCAAAAACTTGTTTCAGATGCTATTTCAGAATTGGATAGCGAAAAAACGACCGTCGAAATAAAACAAAATGTTAGAAATAATTTGCAAACAATCCAACGCAAAACGGAATTATTGCTGGATACGGTTCGATGCAAATTAGGCATGGCAGCAGTCATGTGGGTCACGAAAGGCGAAAAACTCGACGGTTTAGACATGGGTTTGCAGTACCAAAAAATAGAAATTATGCAATCAAACGACGACGCGCTCGCTTTTTTTTTGGAAAATGTGGACAAGAAATATGGAACATTGACCAATTCGTTCGCGAACGATTCCCTCGTTGCTTTGCTGCATCAGATGAAAGTGTTGCAAAAATCAGACACTTGACGCACCCTGACATCGTGCTAAATGAGGATACAGATAAAAATTATGCGTATCATCTTGACATTTATGATGGCGATATTCAAAAGGTAAGGTATTTAGAATCATTGGGTTACGTGGAATATCATGCCGTAATAAACGCCATGATGACCATTTCGGATAAACGCAAAACGAAATAGGGTTGAAACAAAAAAGCCACAACCGAAATGGGTTGTGGCAGTGTAATTAAAAATAATTATAAATCTATCAATGACATAGATTTATGAAAATTCTATCAATTTACTTATATCTCCATTTAATTGTTTCATATAATCTAAAAGTGCATTTTCACACTCGTTATACGCATTTTCAAACGCGATTTGTTCCGATTTTGATAGCTGCGCTAATTCTTGGTCAAATTTTTGGCGTTCTTCATCGCGTTCTTCAGGTTTTTTTATGGCATATAACCTAAGATAATACGACTTAACTAATTCATTATTGGTCAAGCTATTTAAAAAATCTTCATAGCTACGATAGGTTTTTATCGCAAATTCATCAGGCACAACCAATACTTTTTTTACCCCTATGGCGTGCATAATCCCTTCATATTCTACAAATATTGGTGCTTCTATTTGCTTAAACTTCCCTTTTTTGATATATTCATACACAAATTGAGAGGTAACTCCCCTGCTTTTGCAATAATCGGATACTGTGTTAAATATCATGTTATTAGTGTTATTATGTTGGAAAAATTGGTGTAGCACTCAAGGTTACACCGTTTCGTTTAATTTTCGTCTTTTTCTTTGAACCGCTCTAAGGCTTCTGCTACTTTTCTATATTGCGCCCGCAATTCTTCTTTTTTCTCAAATGTTCTGCTTGCGCTAATCATACTATCAATGTGGGCTAATTGTTCGAGTAGTTGCTCCGTAAATTCCTTTCTAAACTTTTCTTTAAAATCTTTTGACATTGCGTAAATTTTTAAGATTAATAATTATTTTTATTACCTTACAAATATACAATTTACTTTTATAAAAAACAAGTATTTTGACACTTATTTTCAAACTATCTTTCTACCACTTTTTAGGTATTTTTAAAATTATATTAAAAAAAAATTTGATAAATTGTTTATAGTGTTTAACTTTGTACTATGAATTTAATAATAATTGATAATTTAAAGACAATAAGAACTATTAGTGGTGAGTATGGGTATTCAATTACTTATATTCATAAATTAATCAATAAAGGCGTTTTGAAGTGTGTTATTATTGATGGGTTTAAATTTATTGATATAACAACAATTCCAGATGATTTAAAGAAAAGGAAAGAACAAATTTAATTTTATATTTTTTTAACAAGTGCCTTGAAAGTTTAACCGTCCAAAGTACAACTAACAAGGCACACAAACGCATAAAATATGCAAGCACAAAGTAACGACAATTTATTGTCATTGTCAAGTATTGTCTTTTTGAAAGACAACCAACCTATTACGAGTTCACGCCTTGTAGCTGAAAAGTTCGGCAAAGAACACAAAAACGTTTTACAAGCCATTTCAAAATTAGATTGTAGCGCAAAATTCAACGGGCTTAATTTTAACCTTGATGCAAAAGGCGAAAAACGACCTGAAGTAGAAATGACCCGTGACGGCTTTACCTTTTTGGTTATGGGTTTTACAGGCAAGGAAGCGGCACATTTCAAAGAGCAGTACATCGAAGCCTTTAATCAGATGGAAAAGCAATTAAAACAACCTACCATCACACCCGTTCCTACACTACCAACGAACCTCAAAGAAGCCTTGTACCTTGCTTATCAACAGCAATGCGAAATTGAGCAGCTAAAACCAAAGGCAGACTACACCGATTTAGTTTTGAGCAGCAATAGCAGTTTTGCGACTACCAAAATCGCAAAAGAATTAAAATATACATATTTTTTGGTATTTTTTGAAAATATTTTAAAAAAATTTGGAAGTGTCATATAAAAGTTGTAGTTTTGTAACATTATGACAGGAGCGGAATTAAAAATACTTAGAAAAAAATATCAATTAACCCAGCAAGAGTTGGCGGAAAAAATAGGAACACATAAATCGCTTATTTCAAGATGGGAGAATGGTAAGCATCATATAGGTAATGCTTATCTAAAGGTATTGTTTACATTATTTGAATCGTTGGAAATTAGATGATTTTTTTTATATAAAAAGTTGTAGTTTTGCAACATTTTTTAACAAAGAAAAGCCATTACGCTGTCTGGAAAACTTGTATGGCTTTTCACAAAATAATTTTTATTTATTATGCAACAGCAAATTAAATCTATTTCTCCGTTAATTCCTATTAACGTTGATGAAAAATTTGGTCAAATTGTTTCTATGCGTGAATTGTATGACTTCTTAGAAGTTAAAACACCTTTCACCATGTGGGCAAAACGAATGTTTGATTACGGTTTTATTGACAATGTGGATTATTTATTGGTATCACAAAAAAGTGAAACCAATAATCCAAAAAATCCATACACTACCGAAACCGATTACGCCTTAACTTTAGACACCGCAAAAGAAATTGCGATGCTTCAGCGTAGCGACAAAGGCAAACAAGCCCGTCAGTATTTTATTGCTTGCGAAAAGGCATTGAAAGAAAAGCCCACCACACCCACTTTACCAATCGACTACAAAACCGCCTTACGTGCCTTATTGCAAGAAGTTGAAAAAAACGACAACTTACAACAAACTGTTTTAACTTTAAAACCGAAAGCCAATTACACCGATACGGTTTTGAGTTCGCAAAGTCGCATACCAATCACAAAGATTGCGAAGGAGATGGGTTATACTGCTATCGCGTTCAATCAAAAATTGCACGAAATGGGAATACAGTACAACAAAGGCGGTTGTTGGTATTTGTACGCGCCGTTATGCAAAACTTATAAAAATCTATAAAAGAATAGATCCTCTGTTTGCTTCCTGCTTCATAGTGTCCTCTTCCTAATGAAGATATGAAAAATGATTATTTTATGCATTTTTTCACTAAAAAGAGTGGCTGTGACACTCCACAGGCACTACGGGTGTAACTCACCCTGTTTTTATTTTACTTACGGATTTTACATTAAACAAGTTTTAGTTTAAAAACCCTTGGAATCCTAGCCTCAAAGAACACTTTCAAAAAGCTTAACACTTTCAGAAAGCTTGGTTTTCGCTTTTCCGAATGGAACAAAAATAAATAATAAATTTATTTTATTCAATTCTTATTCAAAATATTTATTTTATATATATTTAATATTTATCATTTATAGATTTTTATAGGTTTTAGCTTTCAGATTGAAGCCCTATTTAGATAGGGGTTTTACAACTTACGTGACCAGTACTTTTACCGATAACAGCACTGGCGAAGTACGCACCAAAGAAAGTATGTACTGGACGCAAAAGGGCAGGGAGTTTCTTCATTCTATTTTATCTAAAGTGTCCGTCAGCTAAAGCAGACGGCAAAGCATAAAAGCAGACGGCAAAGCACCCAAACAGATAGCGCAAAGGCGTTATTTCACAAAACTTTAAAAATTATAATCATGTCCACTATAGAACAACAAGCCATCAAAAACCAACGCTATAATGAAATTATAGATAAATTTTACAAAGATATTGACGTTTCGACTACCGTAGATGAATTACTGAGCCTTTTTAACGATGTGTTGAATGAAGATACGTACTATTCCAAAGAACTGAGCAACACATTTTTTGCGATCCGAAAAACGGTTGTATTTCTCATAGCACTTGACGAAATACGCAAATAAAAACAAAGCCTATTCAAGCATTTTGGGTAGGCTTTTTTATTTTAAACAAAAAAATAGTATATTTGCGATAAAAAAAACAAAAATGGATAGATACGCTCTTTCTTTTCGCAAACATAGCACACCCAACAGCAACCCATTTATTGCCGTAAAAAGTGATGAAATAGATGGCTTAGAACGCCTAAAAATAGAAGCTCGCCACAACAAATACCGACATCACGAAGTTAGCGCAACCACTACCATAAAAGTACGTGGCACGTTTGCGGCTGCCATAAAATATTTTTTGATTGATGCGGAGGATAAGATACAAAACAGCTTGGAATGTCGGATTTTCGATGCTTTTTGTGAGCAGTATATTGGGGGGTATTTTTATATTTCCGCAAAAAATATTAAAGTGTGCCGAAATGATTGTACGTATGAAGTGAGTTTGAGCCGAAATGATGAAAAATTGCGCAAATTTTTAGATAGTGAAGTAGGCGGCACCGATTATTTTATCAAAAACTATGATACCAATGCGTTGCGTTTTCCGTATTGTGTGGATAATGGCTGGTTGTTTCCGGTGGCGGTTATCGTGCAGGCATTTATGAATATCATTAGTTTAGGATTACAATTTTTGATTGCAGCGTTGACCAATTTTAAACTATTGGAAAAAACGCGCGGGTGCGATAAGGCAGTTTGGTGTTTTTTTGTGCGTCAATATTTGGAACAAGCGGCAATAGGTGCAGGGCTTACGCTCGATGACCAAGTATTTACAAACCCGTCAAAATTTCCAGAGTTAAAACAAACCGTTGTTTTTTCTACGGGAACTGGCGATGTAGCGTACTCGCCGCTCAATATGACGATGGAAACATTTTTAGAAATATTGTGCGAACGCTTTAATTTGAAGTACAAAATAGAAAGCGACACCGTAAAAATACGCCATTTTGATACGCCATTTTCTGAAAATCCTATCCTTGACCTGCGAAAAGTGACGGACCTTTGTTGCACTTGGTCTGGCGAACATTTGCCTGCTTACGGTGATTACAAGTTTGCTCAAGATCGCTTTGATAGCGAGGGCGAACAATCTAAAATGTTGTATGGCGACATAGTAGAATGGAACAATCCTGTATCGTTAAACCAAAAAGGTGCGTTAACCAAAACATTTGATGACGCACCCGTAGCATTCAGAAATGACGGCTTACGTGAGGATAAAATCACAAAAACACAAAATAGTTTCGGAGGTTTTATTTCAGGCTCGCAGAATTTGAGCAACGCTGACGACTTTATTTTTTTGGAAGAACGCATGAGTTCCAACCTAAAATTTATCATTTACGACACCAATAAACCACGAACCGATGCCCGAACGATTCAAAAAAGCTATACCAATGCCGAAAAAACGGTATTAGTTTCAGTAGGTTATGACATAAACCACCTCAACAATGGCAACTTTTATAACTACACCATGCCGTGCAATGCCGATTTAAACGCAATTACGCCCAATACCTACGAGCTTCATAAAACAGACAATCCGCGCCTAAATCCTTACTCCGACAACACTACTTGCGAAGCCACGCTAAACGGTTGCAGCTGCACCCTATTAGGTAATTTGGGGCTTTTCGATGGAAATTATCGCATCGATTATGAGGTAGTTTTAGATGAAACCACTATTTCAGAAATACGAAGCATCGCTTTTGACTTAGATAAAATGACCGTAGAATTGACACTAAAACCGAGCAAAAAACGGTAAAATCATTATTTTTTGGGCATTTTATTCCCAGTTCGCTTCATTTTGTGATGCAATCGGTCAAACTCCTCCGTCGCTTCAATCCATTTAAGAACTAAGTCAATGAGGGTTTTTAAGTCCTCCACGTTTTTAGTTTCCCACATTTTTACGTAGTTCGCATGGTCATTGCCGAGCCACAAAACCCGTTCTGCCACTAACTTTATAGACGGGTTATTCAAAAACTGGTGAATACACGCCAAAGCAGGCATCTTTTTAATTTTTTCTTTTTCTGCTTTGGGCTGCTTTTTTATCAAATAATCTTTGAGCAAAAACTCAAATGATTTCCGATAACCAAGCCCGCAAATTTCATTCAATCCAATTTGTTCGGCATGATAGGCTTGGTTGTAAATCTCGTCGAACATTGGCGAAAACGTTGTTATCATCTTGCTAAATTCTTTTCTTTTTGGTGAATATAATCGCAAATTTACCCTTTTTTGCGCTTCCATTTCTAATTTTACGCTACTTAAAAAATGGTTAAACACTTTTTTTGTCGTTTCCCATCCACCAGTATGCATTGTTATGGCTTTGGTGTGAATAGGGCGTATTTGGGTTTCGTAATTAGTTTCACTTATTCGCGTGATAATGCACTCAAAATAATCATATTTAAACGAATACCGTACAATATGTTCCTCGATTAGCTCGCGTTCAAAATTCACGATACTCAAGTCTAAAACATCAAATATGGCATCAAGTTCTGATAGTTGAATCCCTATTAGGCGCATATCCTACTCCTTTTCTAACGATTTGAAAAAATAGTAGAATGCGGCTTTTACGGGTTGAGTAAGTGGTTTTAATCCATTTATATAAGCATAAGTTGTGTTTTTATCTATTCCTACCGCAAAAGCTAAATCTTTCCCTTTTATCTTGTGCTTATTCATTTGTTGCCTAATAAAATCGCCATTCACATCATCAGTAATTGGCTTTTGATAAGGTAATGCACGTACCAATATCCGCCTATTCCCAACTATTTCGGGAGTAAAAGTTTCTTTCACAATTTCTACCAATCGTTTTGCTTCAAAATGGTTTTCATGTGGGCTTTTTTCCTGTATCACTCGGATAATAATTTCTTCATCAGAAATTTCCAATATTTTAAAATAAACCCTTGCATAACGAATTTGCAAATGAGCCTTTCTTTCGATGGCTTCGCGTTGTTCGTCGTTTAATGGAAGTAAATGAATGTTTTTAATATAAGTTTCCATGATATTTAAAAAGTGGTGGGGAGTTTCACCCCACCTTGTTTTGTTAAAAACTTTTTCCAGTTTCAAGTTGGAAAATTTCGATTTGGTTATGTGCTTTTTTTAGGTCAAAGGCTTCTTTTTCATCAAATACGATAATAACCGTATCAAAATAAAAGTTGCCATTTCTACCTTTCCAACCACCTACAATTTTAGTTGTTTGCAAAGCATGTTCGATTACTTTTTGCAAACCTTCCTTCCCAAATGAATCTTGAGTATCGCGGTGTGCTATACACCAGCCTGCTTTCACAAATTCACAATTAGGAATGAAAACTGTAAAACCTTCAGCGTTTTCTTCAGCAATTTTCCAAATCTTTTTTACCAAACTATCCATGAACTTTGAGGTGTTTCAGTTGGTTGCCTCTACCAATGGTTTGTATGAATTAATACTACAAAGATAGTATAAGAACTTGATATTGTCAAGTTTTTAACATTTATTTTCACTTATTTTTGTCATTTTAACATAAAAAAAGCGCGAGTTGCCCCGCGCCCCAAAACAATTTAAAAACTATGAACAAACACTAAGGTCTTAATAAATCAATTCATTACTTACGATGCTGAAAATTTTATCCAAATATCCTAATCGCTCTGCAACATCAAGGTTGTTTTCTTTCTTGTTTTTGACAATCGTGCGTAGATTAATGCCATAACGATAGTAAAGCCTATCGTAAACTAAATGCCAAACACTTTGCTGGTTTGCATTTTTAGCCGTGCAATAATGGTTTATCAATCGTCGTATTTTGGCTCGCATGGTTTCTTCGGGTAGAACATCTTGTGACCGCTCGGCAACCAATAATTCTTTGATGCTTTCATTACGTGATTCTTCGAGTTCTTGTAACTTTTGCTCTACGCTGCTTAATCTGTTTTCATGTTCTACTAAAAGTTGTACACTTTCTAAAAGTGCTTCTGCTTTTGATTTTGGCTTTAGTGCCGCCTTCGCTTTTCGCTCACATTCCAAAAAGTAATTGCGGACCGCTTCGCCTTTTTCGGTGCGTACTTGCATCGCCAATTTTTTAGCAAAGTCGGGCGTAAGCACAAAGTCCTTTGTTGGTATGCCATTATTTGAACTCGACATGATGTCGAGTTCAACCCAATCCTCACTTTCAATCGCATAAGGATTATTGAGAATATTTTTCTTGTACCATCGTGACCATTGGCTTATATCCAATTCTAACGCTTGGTACAAATCTCTCGCAGAAACGGCTTGCTTGCCGTTGTTGTCAATTTTAATTAAATCAACCATGTTTACAAAGTGTTGTTAAAAGTTTTGAGATAAGGACAATCATTTTTTTGCAAGTAATTTAGCCACTATTTTATCTGCTTTGGCTTCGATGTGGTTTGGTCTGCCATTTTTGTCCCATTCTATTATTTCGGAGCGTAGGAAGTAATACCCTTGTTTGCCGTTGTGCTTTTGGTGGCAGGGTATCGCTTGGCGTTTTGCCATTTTGCAAATATTCTGTACGGTCAAATGCAGCATTTCGGCAACGTTTTTTGCCGTCATCGTTTCTGGAATGTAAGTTGTGTTTGTCATGGTTTATTTTTTTAAAATAAATTGTTTTAGAATTTGTAGTCCATTTTATTTAAAATTTTTTTTGTCAAATCAATATCTTGCAGGAGAGCATGCCATTCTTTAGTGTTTCCATTTTTTATCACAATATCGGCATAATCGTATCTATCTTGCATGTGCTGAAGCAGCAGCCCTGTTAATAATTTTCGTTCTGTAGTGATAAGATTTATTTGCATTTATTTTTATTTTTTATGATACCGCTCATGGCAAGCATGGCAGAGTGAAGTAAGTTGAAAACAATGCTCTTCGTAAATGTCGCGGTAGCTGAGGTGATGCACTTCAGTTGCCTTATTTTCAAGACAGCTTTGGCATAGGTAGTTGTCGCGCTTCAAAACTTTCGCTCGCTTAACACGCCACTCAAAGGTCTTCAGGTAGGCTTGGTATTTGTCTCGTTGTTGGTTCATTTTTAAAAGGGAACTTCGTTAGATAAATCGCCACGTGGCATTGGCATCGGTTTTGGGCTTTCTATATTTTGAACAGGATTTTGGTCATAATTATAAAATTCGCTTGCGATACTTATATTTTCAAATCTCATACACGGTTTATTACGATGCACAATTTCCTCTCCAAGAAAACCACCACGCCTTTTGGCTACGATTATGCCGAGATAATCGTTTTCGCGCGAACTTGTAAAATCGACGGGCAAGCCTTCAGGTCGTTCTGAATATTCATGCAAAAACAAAACAGTGTCGGCATCTTGCTCAATTTTCGCACTATCCTGTAAGTTTGATAATTTTGGTTTGCCGCCTTTTTCGGTTTCGCGGTTAAGTTGGTGTAGCGCAATTATTGGAATATTCAAATCTTTCGCGCCTTGCTTTAATTTTTTGGTCGTTTCGCCAATCATGAGATCATATCTCATGCCGCCTTTATCTCCCAATAAATTGTGTTTCATTAGACCTAAATAATCAAGAATCATTAGATCTAATCCGCCTTCGCGCTTCAATGTTGTCATGCGACCAACAACCTCATAAGCGTTTGGCGCAGGTGCATCGATAATGTGAATTTTCGATGCGGATATTTTTTCGATGGCTTGTTCAATTCGATGTTGGTCGTTTTCAGTTAGTCTTTTGTAGGTTTTCATTTTCAAACTATCAATGCCAGTCATGTTCGCCAGCATACGTATCATTATTTCGCGGCGTGTCATTTCCATAGTCCAAATCGCCACACTTTTACCTTGATTGATACCAACCTCAATAGCTATGTCAATAGCCGAAATTGTCTTTCCAACACCAGGTCGTGCGGCAACAATCATTAACTCGTGCGATTCTAACCGCCCGAATACTTTCGATAAACTTCCAACTCTGAATATGTTTAACCCGCTTGTATTCTCTTCAGTTTGACACGTCATAATGTATTTCATCGTGTCAAAAGCAATATCTTTTGTGCTTTGAGTTCTATTTTTGTATAAAACATCTTTCAACTGCTCATACCCTACTTCGCTATGCGTCAATAACTGAAAAACGTCTGTCGTATCTTCGTATGCTTCTTTCAGCGTCGATTGTGCGTTGTGAATTAGCTGCCTACTAATCCATTTTTGCATAATTATTCTGCCATGATACTCAATATTTGCTGCTGAAGCCACGCGATTAGTCAGTTCTACCACATAATTCATGCCGCCTACTTTTTCAAAAGTGCCTTGCTTATACAATTCATGATGCACCGTCATTAAGTCAATAGGCTCGTTTTTTTGATGAAGCGAAAGCGTTGCTTCATACACCAATTTGTTTGCATCTAAGTAAAACATTTCGGGCGTAAGGAACTCTAACACAGCGTAAATTGCTTCTTTATCCAGCATAATTGCACCCAGAACGGCTTCTTCAACAGGTATCGCTTGTGGCTGCACTTTGCCGAAAACGTAGCCCTCTAAACTTTTTGAAGGATTGTTTTGATGTTTTTTATTTTGTTGCATTTATTGGTGCAATTAATTTTGTTAAAGAGTTATTTTTTCAAACAATTGATTCCTATCGATTATTAAAAAAAAACAAACTTAAAGCCACGCAGGACGGTTATACTTGATTCCTTCGGGCGGCGTATGTATCGATTGTGGCTTTGGTATTGCTGCTTGTTGCGGTGCATTTGTTGGCTTATTGTAGTGGATTTTAGGCTTTTTGTAGGTCATTTGGTAGTATTTATGCTTAGGTATCCAGTTGAAAAAGTGTGATTTTGCGTTTGAAATCGTCGTTATTTTGTCCAATGCTTTCTGTTGCGATAGGAATACTGGTATCAACTGTGTTATTTCTTCGCGCTTCAATTCATGCGAAATACTGATGCTTTGGTGTAATACTTCATCTTCTCGCAATACTTTTCCAATCGTTTCGCCATCCGTTTTGTAGCTAAAAACAGGCGCTTCATTTGGCATTTCGGCAAGCTGCAGCGGCGCGGCATAATTTGGTTGCGTTTGTTTAGCTGCCTCTGTGGTAACAGATTTTTCCAATTTGCCCTCGTCGATGATGATGATGATATTGTCTTTGTCTTTAGTCTTATGTATTGTATCAACCATTGATACAGTTGTTGATACAGTTGCTGATACACTTGGTGATACAGCAAGCTCGTAAAAAGTACAATTTGAGGTCGTTTCGATATTGATTAACTTGCAATTTACCAGCGTTTTTCGGGCTGCCCGAATGCTATTTACAGACACCGCAAGCTGCCCCGCAACGTGCCGTTCAGAGTGATTAATCGTTTTGCGCCAGCCCAAACGGTTAAACTCGTTTAGCAACCAAAAATATAAACGTGTTTCAATAGGTGTGAATGGATATTGACTATCTAATTTCCAAAATTGGTTCATTAAATCTATATAACTCATTGTTGTATTTTTATTGTTTTAACAAACTGTTTTCTAAAATGAACTTACTTGTTCTGCTGCTTTCGCAACTGGCTCTGAAAGAAATTTGTATTTCTTTTTTAGCATCTCGACCATGCCATCAAGTTCGCGCTCCATTCGCTTGGAATCCTGCAACGCGAAGTTTTTTACAACTTGGTCTTTTGATGTAAAAAAGGCTCGCTGTGCAACGCGCAATTTTTGCGCAAGCTGAAATAAATTTTGTTGTTCAGTGTGTGTCATAATTCAATAGTTTTAGTGTTAATAATTATGGCATCTGGAATCCACTTATGTAAAAGTTTAACAGCTGATGCTTCACTATCCGTAAGCACACAGATAGTTAAGTCAATCCCGTTTCTCCCATCGCGATAAGTTATTTCAAATTTTTTTGTTGCCATTTATTTTAATATTTTTTGTTTTAAAAAAAAGACGGAGCCGTTTGAGCATTATGAATAGGCTTGCCCCGTACTGTCGAACGATGAATCGGAATCGAACCGATGGAATTGCATCACGAATATTTTTTCCCCAAACCTGGCATCGTATAAAATCGGTGCTATTTTTCAATAGTACCGAATCAAAAGACATAACTGATACAATATCTAATTTTAAGAAAAACTAAACCTTGCAACTTTTTGCAATTCTTGGCTGTGCTTCGGAATCGAACCGAATGGCGAAGATTATGAGACTCCGCTTGCACCAGCGCACAAAAAACACTAAAAATGCTACACTTTACTATGTCACAAAAAGCTATTTTCGACGGTTGTTATCCTTCAGTTTTTTTGCTTACTTGTAAGCAAAATTTTATGATGAAAGAAACTAAATCTAAATGCCCTAAATGTGGCGAAACTACTTTTGAAGCAGGCGACGACCGTGTTGAAAATATTCCGTATCTTTTTACCTTTATTCGTTGCCAATCTTGCAAAACACTTATCTCAGTCTTAGACGGTAATGCCTTGATAATTAAGGATATAGCCGAAAAATTGGGTATCTATGTAGGCAATCGAACTGGCGGTGAATAAATTTTTAAAAAGGCTTTTATTGCCTTCTGTATTCGCGCCATATCCTCAATATCGTTTACATGCTCTATGGATATAAATACCTTGTTTATTGGCATCACGCCATTGTGCACATCGTTTGTAATTGTAATTTTCATTGCTTTTTATTTTATTCTTTACTTGCTGCTTGCACCTGTTCGGGCTGCGCACACTCCGACTCAGCCCACGCCATGATGCCCTCGTATTCGTCAATGGTTAAACCGTTCGACATGGCAACTTCTAAGAGCTGCCCCTCAACGCACTGGCGAGTTAATTCTGCCATAGTCATATTAGGTATAGCATCTGCTATTTTATTCATCGCTGCCTTCCGATTTGGCGTAATCGGAACTGTTATTCTGGAGAAGTTTTCACGACCTCCATACTGCATATTTTGTGTTGATTTTCTCATTTTTATAAATGTTTTATATATTTATCGCATCAGATACAAAGATGCACAATTAAAATATGATTTGCAAATTTTTTATGACTTATTTTAAAAAAAAATGGAAGAGTTTACAACACAAGATTTAAGTGAGCTATTAAATTACTTGGTAACCCAAAAAGGGTTGAAGTTAAAGGCAATCGCTGATGAGATTGGAGCAACACCTAATGAATTATCAATTGCAAGTGGGGCAGCAGGGCGAAGTAATATAAAAAACTTAAAAAGGTTTTATCCTGCCATATTTAAGCATTACGACCATTTATTAAAAGACTTCAAGCATGGTGCTAAAATACCAATAGTTATCTATGACACCCGCTCAGATAAACAATTATTGCAAGATATTGAACGTAAAGTAGAACATCTTGAAACAATAGAGCAAAAGATTGACCTGCTAATGAAGACATTCGCGGCAATGCAGCGCAAAGAGCGCGAATTAGATGATGAATTTGCAAAAAATTGGGAGTTATATCAAAAACTCATCGGTAAGGATAGCCTTTAATTTATCGTTCCTATCTGTTTTTAATTTATTTATTTGATGTTGAATATCAATAAGTTGTGATATTACATTTATTGAATCAAGCGTAGTTTTATTATTATTTATCATGGTGACTAAAGTTTTGGTTAAAAATTAGGCACAAGATAGGTGTGAGCGGTGGCAAAGATAGTACCGTAAATGCGGTATTAATGAAATGGTAACGTGTTGTTTGGTTTTTGTTAACGAGTTGTGAATGGGGAGTAAAAAATGCAAAAGAAAGAATTTCCGCTTCAATTATTAATATCATTGCAGGCGATAAGTGACAGATATTCAAGCAAAGTGAATGTTGTGCGAAGCGAAGAATATTTGTTATTGCTCACAGAAAAAGATAAAGAATCTGATTTTTATTTTAAAATAATAAATTTTGGGTTTAAAAATGGCAAAATAATCTATGAGTTTGTGGTAAAACCAATTTCAGCAACGAACATCTTGGGTAGTGGCAAGCAGTCCTATTATGAGGCAGATGTCTTGACTCAGATTGATGTTTGGATTGATATTTTGGATAAATATAATAGGCATTATTCACTTTTTGATGGGCTAATTGAATTTTATGGGCTACAAATGTCATTCAAAAAAGAGGAAACTGATGATAATATTTTGACCGAACAAGAAAACGCATTAATATTAACCATCTATGACCGACTTTTGATGGAGGTTTCAGCTAATCAAACGGAGGAGAATAAACAAGAAGCAGGAACAATCATAGCAGAAATAGAAGTAGCAAGGCGCAATGTATCACATTGGTCAAAATGGAACATTAAAACAAATATTCTAAAAATTGGCAAATTGTGTTCTGATTATCTTCCAGAACTAAAAAAAGGTGTTGTTATTGAACTCCTACTAGAAGCAGGAAAGCACTTAATCGGTCTTTTGAAGTAATTTTTTTACATCTTTATAAGCATTTAATATGTTTTTAGAATCAATGGAATATTGATTCATTTCCTCTTTTAGGTCAGATTCAGGCACGAGTTCGGTATATAGCGTAATGTGAATTTTTATAACGTTATACACTTTTAATATTGCTTGTAATTCATCTTTTGCAAATACTATTAAATGTTTGCGAAGTCCAAAAAAATTGATTTCAGATTTGTAATAAGGCATGTTCTAAAATTTAATAAAAAAGGTGCAGATATGGCTCTTAAATTTCTTAATCGCTCTTAAATTTATTAATTTTTTTCATTACCGAAACTAATTCAGCGGCAGTTTCAATAAGTTCTTCAAATTCTTGGTCACTAATGTTAGTCGCTTCAATTTCGTTAATAGTGACTTTTTGCTTCAAAATGAAAAATGAAGTTCATATATGACATATTTTAATGCACAAAGATACGCATTTTCATCGAAAACACCAAATAACGGTAGAGATAACGCAATGCGTTATCTATGGGTGGAGTGCCGTGCTGTGTTGCCGTCAGGACATTAGATAACGCGGTGCGTTATCTCTACGGGTAAAAATATAAACTACCAAATTGGAATATAATAATGAAATCTATATATTTGTGAGATGAATAAAACCACGAATTGATATGCAACTAAAAATATTTGATTTAGATTATAATGATGGGCATTTTGAAGCATTTAGTTATGAAAATGGGTTTACGTACTGGTGGGCATCTGACCTGATGCAGTGGCTTGGCTATGAAAATGCCAATACTTTTGCAAAAGCAATAGATAAGGCGATGACTGCGTGCAACACTTTGAGCATACCGATTGTAGAAAATTTTGTACAGGTGCAACGGGGTAAAAGTGGTTTAGATTTCAAATTATCGCGTTTTGCTTGTTTTTTGACAGTAATGAACAGCGACCCACGCAAGCCTGCCGTTGCAAAAGCACAGGCATATTTTGCAACATTAGCTGGTGCTGTACAAGATTTTATCCAAGAAAGCAAGCAAATAGAGCGGCTTATTGAGCGTGGCGAAATATCGAAACATGAAAAATCTTTGGCTGAAACGGCTCACAAAGCTGGCGTAAGAAGCTATGCGATGTTTCAAGATGCGGGCTATTTGGGCATGTACAACAAGCATATCTATGAATTAAAAGCGATTAGAGGGATTGAGCAAGGGTCTTTGCTTGATTTTATGGGAAGTGTTGAGTTGGCAGCCAATCGATTTAGAATAACTCAAACGGAGCTAAAAATCCAAAACGAAAATATCAAAGGGCAATCTTCTCTGGAAAAAACAGCGCATGATGTTGGTAAAACAGTCCGAAAAACGATGCAAGAAATTAGTGGCATCAATCCTGAAGATTTGCCCGTACAAGAACACATCGACGAAGCGAAGAAATTGCTCAAAGAGAAAAATAAGCAACTCAAAAAAATAGACAAGAAGAAAAAAAAATAAGCAAAAACGCCTACCCGAGTGCATCGGATAGGCTAAGTGTAATTAAAAATATTAACCATTTAAAGGATAATTATACCTGTTTCAACTCTTTAACATCTTTGCTTATTTGCTTAACTTCATCTAACCAAAGTTGCACTAATTTTTGTCGTGCTTCTTCATAAATAAGATGTTTATTGCTTAGTTTATCATATTTATTGTTCATAAAAGCGATAATAGCCCTTTTTTCATCTCCTTTAGCCGACAAAAAAGCGATTAAATCTTTTTTTATTTCATCATCTGAAGTGGCTAAACTTGCCAATATCAGTGCATATTCGTTATCGTCGTCAATATCAATATGAGATGTTGGCAATTCCAGAAACTTTTGAACGCCTATTGATTGTTCGCTCCCTTGATGCCGAACAAAAACAGGTAATTCTACCGTTTTAAATTTCCCACGTTTTATTTCTTGATAAACATATTGACGCGAAACATTCCGTTTGTTACAATACTCCTTTATAGTAATTAGCATTGGTCAAAAATATATTTAGCCCTTGCATTGGCTGCAAGGGCGGTTAATTAATCTTTTTTAAGCTCTTTTTCCAAAATTTCAATCTCTTTTCTTAGCTCAAAAATCCATTCCAACATTAAATCCTTTTCGGCATAATTTGCTGTCATGCCCTCAAAATTTTCTTTCAATCGTTGCAACCGTCTTTTTTTAAAGTCTAAAAGTTGCTGTTTTTCTTTGTTATCCATTTTAAATAGTTTAAATGATTAAGAATAAATTTAATTACCTTACAAAGGTATATATTTATTTCTATATTGTCAATATATAAAGTAAATATTTTCCAACTTTTTACCCATAAAAAAAGGCTTGTAAGCGTGTTACAAGCCTTAAAAACCACGATTGAAAAAGACAAACCTATGGTCTAATTCTCTCTAATAGGTTTGTTTCTAAATGTTTTAGGCTTTGTATTTCATTTTTGTAGATGCAAAGCCCAAACAGTTTTATCGTGACCGACCATATTACCCTTTCCTCATTATCATCTCCTTCTCTATTTTTATCATATCTTATTTTTTTATAATTTATTCCTATTCCGTCCGCTAAAGCAGACGGCAATGTGCTTTTTTCAGCTAAAGCAGACGGCAATGCGCATACTCATAATTCATAATTCATAACGCTAATTCGGCACTATCCCCGAACAACCAAGCCACACCGCCATGAGCCGTTTTTTTAGCCTCCTTTTTTTAATTCGTAATTCGTAATTCGTAATTCGTAATTGACCATCGTAATTCGTAATTTGTAATTCGTAATTGATTTATGCAAAGTTAAAAAATTTTTGAAAAAAAAGTCATAAAAAATTTGCAAATCATTTTAATATGACTTATCTTTGTATCAGATACAAACCAATAAATAACAACACTAAAAAAAAATAATCACTTTATGAAAAAATTAGCATTTCAGTTAGCGCACCAAATAAAAAGTTTTTTCGGTAGCTGGTCACAAGCCCTTAGAATGGCTTGGTTCTTAGCGAAGGTAGCGTGTGGTCGTATTGGGACTGTCACATTTGCAAAAGAAAGCACGGGTGAGGAGCGCATTGCGACAGTAAAACACTTGAGCACGAATCATAAAAACGGGACTTTTAAATTTCTTGAGCTCACCGAAAGTGGGGAGCAATGGAGAAGTTTCAAGGTCGCGAATTTGATAACAGCGTAAAATCAATTAAAAATTAAAAATTACGAATTACGACACACTATAATAACCAATAACCAATAACCAATAACCAATAACCAATAACTAACACTATGTTAATCATATTAATCACAACAATTTGTTTAATATTTTGCGGCTTAATGCTGCTTACAGATAGATTAATTCACAATAAAAAAACAATAAAACGATGGTAGATTATAGCAATATGCACCACAAGCGGGCTGCAATAGATTTTGACGAGCTCGAAACAACAAACGATGCAGACAATAGAAAAGATAAAGAAGCGGCAAAAAGGCGAATCGATACGGCAAGTATGCTTTTAAAACAAACAATGAATTTATTAGACTGCAAAGAGTCTGAAATTTTAGACAAACATGAATGGAAAAAGGCATTGAGCGCATTGGCAATATTGCGCGATAGTTTAGGATAAGATTTTTCGGTTGCATTTTAGTTTTATTTATTAACGGGTAATTAAAGTGATTTCACAAATCAATGCAACCAAGCGTGAACGGTTTTTTGGCGGTTCGATTCCGCCACACGCTCGAATATAATACAATATTTTATAACATTAAAATTTTAAAAAAATGACAGCATTAGAGCAAGAACAAACAAGCGTATCAATAGCAACAGTGAAACGCGATGTATTGCAAGAATTATTGCAGGTTAAAAATGATACAGATAAAATCGACTTAGACACCAGTGAAAGTATGGGCATTAATATTGTCATGGATTACTTCAACTTTGAAAACCATAAAGATATGCCTTTGCGGTTTATCTACATGGGTTCAATTGTGATGGAACTTTTGGATAAACAAACGGGTGCGTTAAGGGCGTTGGAACACATTATTTTGATGGATAAATCTAAAAAAATGTGGTCTTATGCAGGTATAAAACTGGTAAGCACCATTAAAGACCGCAAAATACCAGCAGGCACAGCGTTAGAAATCACGTATTTAGGAACGGTAAAAACCAAAAGCGGTGGCAATATGCACACGTTTTCAGTAGTGCCATTAATACCAAAATTATAATGATAGCAAATTTATACGATGTAGCGAGTGCGGAAGCACTTGCTACTTCACTCGACGAAGCGACGACCGACACTACAAAAGCGGACATGCTTGCATCGCGTAAAGGATTTATTTCCGCATCTGAAGTGTGGAAACTTTTTACAGAAGCGAAAAAAAAGGGAGAGGTAAGTGAAACGAAAAAAGGGTATTTGCTACACAAAGCGTTGCAAAGATTAGGTTTTGATGCGCCAACCTTTCGTGGGAACGCGGACACACAATGGGGCAATGATAATGAAGCTGCTGCAATAGAAGAATATAGTAAACAATTTTTGTATAACAGCAGCTACTATGACATAAAATACCCCTGTGAGTTTATGAAGCGTGATGAATGGATTGGCTGCACGCCCGATGCAATTGTGACACACCCACAGTTTGGTCGGTCGTTAGTGCAAGACTTTACAAGGAATCTTCAACATGCAGCACGGATTATCAGGACGGCCCACTTCCGGGACAATGCACAAGACTTTCATGGAGAAACCACCCTAAAACGTTTGGTCATAAGGGTGCAAAGGACTTTCGGAAACCAACGCTGGCGCAAGCTCGCTTGCACAAAAAAACAACAACCATTTTGGCATCAAATGTTTTAGTAAAAAGTGTAAAAAAGGACATTGCAGTAATTTTACAGATGATAGCCACAAGGATTTTTTTAGGAAATACAAAAGTGCATGGGAGAGCTATCGTGCGCATAGTCAATTGCTGTTGAAGCCACATTATGCACATCTTCAAAGATACAGTGACTACAAAACGTGGGCAAAAGGATTAAAGGACGCAGGTTATGCAACTGATAGACTATATGATGAAAAACTGATAACAATTATAGAGCATTTTGAATTAGATAAAATATAAGAAAATTGGCGATGATTTCATTGCAGTCGAATTTGAGCATAAAAAAACATACACCTACACCGTTGCGCTCAACGATGAGGATACCATAAACCAGATGATAGCACTTGCGCTTGAATCGGAAGGACTTAGTACTTTCATTTCTAAACATAAGGAAACTTTAGGATTTCTTTAGTCACATTCTAATAGGTGCAAATTCTGTTTTGTCGGTCCGATATAAACAAAATTAGCTACATCATATTGGGTCACGTTATGCACATAACCTTTAGTACACGCTATCATTTCGAGCGAACCATCACGTGGGCTATACCCAAAATTGAAGTAGTGCATTTCGGTTTCATTAGGCAATGAGCCGTAAATGATACAATCATCGTGTATGGCAACGCCGTTTTTATCTTTTAAGTTTATTTCTTGCATTTTTTTTGCGTATTGTTTAAAATAGTTGTATATTTGTGATGGGTAATGGCTGTAATAAGGTCAACGCCCAGACCGAGGAGTGGCTTATGCCACTCTTTTTTTCATGGTAACATTTGAATCAAATAATCAAAGGTAATTTCTTTTCTTGGAAGTTTTACCAGTTTATCCTCAATTAAAAGCCATAATTCAGTCACGTATGCCTTACCACTATTAAAAAATTCTCCATTTAATTTTTTAGCTATCAAATATTTATCATATTTTGTTTTAGGAATAATGAATACTGGTATCGCCAAATTTTGTTTCTTTGCACTTTTAAACGAATTAACAATAAATTTATCAATATGAGTATCTTTTTCAGGCTCTTTAAAATCGCCCATAAGTCCATCTTGTAAACTAAGTTCAGGATTTTTCATGGATAATCCATCAACATCACTCTCTATGTGTTCTCTAATTTTCACATTTTCGCCATTATCCGCCAGTATTTTCGCCTTTTTTATGTTATATTCGAGGTCTTTCTGATGTGCCTTTTCATGCACATCAACAACTGCACCATTTTTGGCGGTATATTCGCGTGTGTAGCCTTGGTCAATTGGGTGTTCCATCTTTTGCAAGGTAGCATTTTTCGGTGAAGTTGTCACTACTCTTACTGGTATTGCCTGATGCCGACAGTTCCACCCACCGCGATAAATATAACCTTTTTTAGGTATTTTTTGAAAATATATTAACTTTTATTTGCTTTTCCTTTTTTCATTTCGTACGTTTGTGTTGCGAATTAATTAGAAGAATTGCAAACGGCAATTTCTCAAGTAAAAGTTTTATTTTTAAGATATACCCAGCGGAGTGTTTAAGAAACACACCTTTCCTTGTGCTTTTGCGCTTCTGATTAGTTCGCAGCCGTTGGGATTTTTAACATTTTATAATCAAAAATTATGCGAACTAATCAGAACAGCCTCCACCCATGCGAGGCGCAATCCACCCAAGCCCAACTTATCCAGTTGGCACGTTTCAACGATGCGTTGAAACTATTTTTCCAAAACACCGATACCAGTACCATTGTAGACGAGCTACTCACGGCATACACTACCGTAGAAGATAGCCAAGAATATGGAAGCAGAAACTTGAACAACTTACTTTTTGCGTGCCGAAACCTAATTGTATTGGTTTCAGAATTGGAACGCTTGCACTATTTCTTTCAAATTCCAACACAAAAGGAGGGTGCAAATGCGTAACGAATTAGTCATCAAAAACAGCACAGGCAAAGATGTAACGACCAGCCTTATTGTGGCGGAGGTGTTTGGGAAACGACATGACCACGTTTTGCGCGACATTGAAAATCTTAATTGTAGTCAAAATTTTCGTCTCCCCAATTTTGGGGCGACCTCTTACACCGATGCAAGTAACAGGCAATCAAAGATGTACGAAATAACAAAAGACGGTTTCAGTTTTTTGGTGATGGGATACACAGGCGAAAAGGCAGGCGAGTTCAAGGAGCGGTTTATTGCTGCATTCAACGCCAACGAAGCCTTGCTGAAAGACGACGATTACATCATCGAGCGCGCGATGTCAATTATGAGCCAAAAAGTAAAAGCGTTGCAACACGATTTGGAAAACAAAACGCAAGTCATTGGTTTGCAGCAAAAAGAGCTAAAACAACAAGCTCCGAAAGTAGCGTATCACGATGCGGTGTTGAACAGTGAAAGTACGATAATTACGAATGTAGTGGCAAAAGAACTGGGCATGAGTGCCGTAGCATTGAATAAATTATTGCATAGTTTAGGCATTATTTATGAAAATGGGGGCGTTTGGGTGCTGTATGCAAAATACGAAGATAAAGGCTACGCCAAAATGCGCACCCATTATTACACAAATAGCAATGGCGAATTGATGACAAAAAAATACTTGGTTTGGACAGAGCTTGGTGTAAAATTCATCCATGAGCAGGTAAAAAATACGCTGAAAGAGGTAGTGAAAAAACCCGTCTAAAATTCTGCAAATCAAGCTGTTATTTTTTACGCTCCATGATTAATTTCATGGGGCGTTTTTTTTTTGCTTTTTATCAAAGATATTTGTATATTTGTATTGGAAAAGTAATAACTAATACATTGGACTGTATCCTCTAAGTTACGTTATTACTTTTTTATTTCTTCAACTATTGAATAAAATACAAACTCACCTTGCTTATTCTCCTCTATAACTATGAATGATTTTTCCTTATTCAATTCAAACGAAAAGAAGTGATATTTTAAAATATTTTGTTTATTTTCTTTTTTATTTAAAACACTGCTTACAAATTCTGCATTTTTTATTGTTTCAATAAGATTATTCTCTATCAAACTTAATTTATCTAAATAATATTTATGCGGTTGATTAATTGACTCTTTGAGTCCTTTCATTGTAAACGTTATAGATTTTGGGAACTCTTTTCTTTTTATTGATATTTTTTTATCAATAATATTTTTTGTAGCTTCTTCTTTTGCCTTCAATCTTTTTTCTTTTAGCTGAACATTTTCTATTTTATTTAGAGAATTTCTTTCTTTCGCCACCACCCTTACTGGTATTGCCTGATGCCTACAATTCCAACCGCCACGATAAACTAAAAAATTGGTTTCATTCGTACCTTTTATCATGCCGCCGCTTTTGCCGAGATATTGGGCGATGAGTTGCTTGAGGTTTTTGCGCTCAATTACGCCATTCAAGGCATTAAGGCAATGCATACAGATTGGTCGGCTATCGTCAATTAAGCTGCCAACATAACGAATATACGGCAACTCAAAGCCATCAGAAACGATTTGATTAATTTGCCCCTGATATTGGTGTACCGAATCTCGCGCTACTTGGGTAAGGTAGGCATTGATATAGCTGTTATTTTGGGCGTTGCTAACATATTTTTTACGTAGTTCGTTTTCTACTTGCTTGATGCTCCAGCCAAAAGCGGTGGCGTGTAGGAGTGCCGTGTTAGCTTGGTTGGTGAAGTAAGATTTTAGTCCACCATCGGTAAGGTCAAAATAGGCTTTATTGAGCAAATTTGTTTGCGAATTACCAAGTTTTGCTTTGATTTCTTGTTCGGAAAGCCCGTTTACAGACTGGTGTAAATCGTAGGTGTTTTTGGCGATTTCATCAAAATTAACCAAGAAATCCTTGACCGTTTGCGCCCAATTGACGACACCCAACGCACCAGAATACGCTTGCTCAACTTGCGAAAGGATTTTTACAATATCATTGTCGGTCTTTATTTGCAGGTTTTCATCGGTTTGCAGTTGGGTCAAAATAGTGCGTACTGCCTCAAAAAGTGCGTTTTCCACGTCTTTTATGGGTAGATTTTGCAAGGCTTTATGCTCTAAGGCAAGTATCGTTTTTCCGTATTGGTCAATTTTAGGCATAATTATTGACCCTCATTTTGAAACACTATCATTTGTTCGTTTTGCTTCGGAATGGCATCATTTACCTTTGTATCCAATTCTTTTGCAATAGTTTCAAAACTATTATTGGAAAAATAGGCTGTACCTTTTTCATCAATTAAATTATCCAACAACGATACTGCAAGCATACTTTTTGTAAAATCGAATACAGACATCTGCCTTGTCACTGAAAACACACGCTCTTTCACATCGTAAGAATAGTAAAAATAAGGGTCGTAACGCTTCAAAAAGTTGTTTTTCATATATTGCAATTTACCCGAATTGAGCGAAGAATTGATTTCGTTATATTTTTGCGCCACCACAAACGCTGGGCTTTTGGCAGTCAATAATTTTATCAATTCGTCTTGTAGTTCGGTTTGTGTTTTTAGGGCAAATTGTGTCGGTCTTTTTACCGAAATACTTTCGGGCGAAAACGTGCCATTTTGCAAATAAGCATCAACAAAAACCAGTAAATCCGTAGCAATATCAAATAAATTATTGGAAAATTGCGATACAAATTTGAACATTTTCTGCATATCTAACAACTTAGCTGCGCCACTTTGTGCCTGTTCTGTAAACTCTAAATACAAGGACATTTTGAAATTTTTATACAAATCTTCAAACCTTTTCGAAGTCACTTCAATAATTCGTGTATCGGGCGTGTGATATTTTACGGCTTGCACATTTTGGTCGAGTACCGTATCTGGCACGACTAAAACATCGCCCAACGCACGTGAAATCGTACCTCTCCCATTACATTTTTTACAAATTTCTTTGCACCCAAGTTGCCCGTCTTCACAAGGAATATCATTTTTGCCATGCCCCCCACAGTCAGAACAGGTGGGCTCAAGCACTTGCGTCACACCAATCAAATCTTTGGCATAGGCTTCCGTGTCAATAAACTGCCGAATAGCAGCATTAGCCCAGCCCGCACCGCCCGAAAAATAAGACACATACGCCAGTTTATTATCAATAATCTGGGTGTGACCGCCGAGTTTTCTGGCAGGCATTGCGCCAAAATTATGTTCAAACAAACGTTTGTTTGAAGATACTTTGCCATCTTTTATTTCGATTTCGGTGTAGGTATTTTGGTCGATTACAGTTAAAATATTATCCGATTTGAACGCCAGAACAAAATCATTTTCAAATATGATTTGCTTTGAAAAAACAAATTTTATACGTGGCTCAATGCCATTTAATGGATGTGTGTATGGATAAACTAAGGCATACCCGTTTGGGTCATCTACAATTTGCTGCGTCAGTACATTTTTGACGAAATCGAAAAAGTCTAATCCAAAAAACGATTTTTGATACAAGAAGTCACTTGTATTTTCATTGCTACACATATAATCGTAGTTCGTTTCTTGAAAAATTGCCCCTCTGATTTCGTCCATTGCCATTAGGAAAAGGTCGCGCGAAAAATCAGGATACACTGAGCAAAGCCAATTAAACCGTTCAGAATTGATATTCGGAAAACGGTTTAAAATATGGTTTTCGATATAATTTTGATAATCATTCGTCCAGCCTTGACACTTTATTTCTTTGGAATATTGATGCGAAAGGGACTTAAATTTTGGCTTAATGCCATGACTATGTACTGTAATTTTTAGATACTCTTGCTCATAAAACAAAGCAAGGGCAGGTCTGAACTGGTTCAATTCAGGCTCAGTTTTTCCTTGTGTAAGGCGTACATAGTCAGTAGCATTAAGTATTATTTCCATGCGGCTAAGGCTTGAAATGATGCGGCATTGAGCGTAATAATTGGCTGTGAATATCGCGCGCCGCAATTTGCTTTCATACTTATTTCAAAGCCAGTTTTCGTGAAACAACTGTTCACGACCTCTGAAATTTCTTTTTTGAACATGGTAAACGTTGCAAAATCAGTACCGTCATTATTCAAAAGGTAACTTAAAATCCCGTTTGTGTCGATGATTCCCAAGTTATATTTTGCGGAGCCGTCCGCGACTAAGTCCCAAAATTCGCGTTCACCTTCTTCAGCTACGCCGACAGGGTCGGCACTACTTGTTTTATCCCATGCAATCCAAGATTTAAAGGTAGCGGATGTCTCACCTTGAACGTACATTTTTTGTGCAGATGAAATGACCGTTTCCGTTGGGTCAGACTGATTGAATGTGAAGTCCGCAATTTCGCCAGAGGCAAACACTTTAGTATTTATATCGTCAGTCGCGCCACCGTTCCAGCCAGTTACCAAGTTATTATAGATTTGCGATGGCGACGTTGGCGGTAAAATGGTGCTTAAATCGCCGCCATTAAAATCACACGCAATAAAAAGTAGTTTCTTAGGTGTTTTATTGCGTAAAAGAGAATTACAGCCTTGCGCTGTGGGTAAAGATTTTGGGCTTTTTTGGTTGCAGCCCACACAGATAATGCTCATTTTTTTTATTTTTTTTTATTTTTTATAAAATATTTTAACTAAAAATTAAAGTGTACTGTCCGTCAACATACACATCTTGTATGTGTGTATCAGGATAATTCCAACAATTTAACAATGTTTGCTCGTTATACGGAGTATTAGCACTTTGTATTATTTGATTTTCGTACCATGTTGCCGTTGTTGGCGGTTCATTATCTGATGCAGAAGTAGGGAACGCATAAACGCATCTTGTTTTAGCAAGTTCGCCAATCGGCACATTTTTACTGATTTCACCACCACAATCAGGTGAATTAAAATAGAAAATAGCCGTACCATCCAAATATTGCGGATATTGGATTGTAATAACACCATTATTAATAGTACCTTGTATTCCATCAAGGTCTGCTGTCAATATATTTCCTATTGGCGATGCTGTTGCCGAAATATCAACAAATAACTCGCGTTTTTCTACTAAATTAAAAGATTCAGTATGTCCATAAAAAAAACGTTGTGGGGCAAATTGGTATTCATCGTTTGTATAATAATCAATGCTATCGATGTTCATTCCGCCTAAAAATGGCGAAATATGCGTATATTTAAAGGTAACTAAAACGTCATTAACGCCTAATTGCCGCAAATCTGGTTTATAAAACCAGAAATTACCAATCTTAAACGAATGCTTTGTATTGTTTATAAAATCATACAATAGTTGTGCATCATTTGCATTTGCGCAATTTATTTGCATTTCTGAACCGTTGGCTGTTGCGACACGTTGCATAGTTGCCGTT